CTTTGTATCAATTATACTTTGTATAGTAGATCGAACTCTGCTTATAATCCGCGAAATTTCTTATAAAACTTACTGATAAACTTTTACAATGATTATGTAAATTAATAATAATGTTTCTTTCTTCTATCGTAGTTTTCATACATTTTTGTCCCATTTTTCAACGATAATTTCAAATACTGTAAAATTTTGAACAAGTTTGATGCCGATAACGTATTAAAACATACTGACAACATTAATCATAGTGAAGCAGCGGTGAAATATGTTTACATTATAAATTCTCTTGTAAGCAGTTTAAAATAAAATGTGTACGAATACTTATTGCTTGTACATTTCTGCCGATTTTTGTTTTTTCTTGTTGATTTCGCAAATTATGCAAGTTAAAAATTTTCTTTTGCATTGCATCTATTCTAGAGATTTCCGAAAATACGTACAAACTGATCGTTTATAAAAAAATTGTTAATAAACTACCATTTCACTAAGTTTTGTTAGAAATTGATCGGTGTACGAATACTTTCTACACTCACTGTACATAATTCTTTTGATAATTATTTTGAAAGAGGGGAGGCGTGTTTTACCGATTTCGACGATTTTTAAATATGTTATAAAAATTAACATTTTGAACAATTTTTTCCTATACATATAATTGCCGCTCGGCCTTAGTTTCCGAGATTTTTGCAAAAAACTATTGCTACTACAGCTAATAAATATTGCCTATAATTACGTGCCTGTGGCAGCGTCTATGTAAGTGTTGAGTCGCCGATTGTTTATGGTTTTTATAGATCGAGGCTGCCGGCAATAGACGCCTATAACATGTACTTAAAAACTCGATCTGAGTAGCCGGGCTGCCTCGCGGCGGCTGGAATGAAAAATCTAACCCGAACCTAATCCATTAAATTAGTCACTAGGTAGAATAGTTAGGTTTATGTAAGGTTCGGGTAAAAATTCAGGCAAAAATCTCGGAAATTAAGGCTGAGCAGCGATTACATACATAGGAAAAAGTTGTCAAAAATATTGATTTCTACAACATATTCAAAAATCGTCGAAATCGGTGAGACCCTCTCAATTCTTTTTAATAACAATTCAAATTTCATATGAAACAAGTCTGTCTATCACTTTTATTCATTCAAATCTTTATTAAAGTTTTACATTTTGTTATAAGTTTTATATTTTGTTATTAAAGTTTTATATTTCGTTAAATCGATTGTTGCAACCAAGTTGATGTAAATGATTTTTCACGATTGATATATAGAGTGTTCGCGGATTTATTGTCCAGCGTTTTTTCTTGTAAATGGTAGATGCTGTGGAAATGTAAAAGAGGACAAAGTACACTTTCTTTTATATACAATGTAATGGTGCATAAAAATTATTTTCATAGTGTTATATTGTTTTTTGAGAATTAAAGGTAACTTTTAATTTTTTCATCCTATATTTTTTTATAAAAACGAATATCAAGATGAGTTCAACGATGTTCCATTCAATTCGCACAAGGTCAGAAACAAAAGAAATATCTAGGACATTGTGTATCAATTTATTCATCTGTGTTTCATATTGAAATTTACAATTCATGTTCAATATGATTTCCATTCTTCAGAATCCACTCTTTTGTGTTCTATGCAATATACTTTTGCTACTCTTCTATATCTTTCTTTTTTTTTTTAATTTGTAACTAATTTGACAGTATTCGATTGCTTGAGTTAATGTACTTGCGTCATTGTTGTGTAATTGGTATCTTTAGGATTACTGGATAAGGACCACCCATGAATATATCTTATTGTTTTCGAATTAATGTTCTCTCAAATGTATTCAAAGAATGAAAAGTATTTAAATTTTTTTACTCTCATTGTATAGCTTCAAACTCATATAATGTTATATTATGTTTTATATTTTTATTAGTAAACTTATATACCTTTATTAGTAAACTTATATTTTTTAGTTTGTAGATTAATTTCTGAATGAGCCACAGCACCGGCATCTTCAGTCACCTCCCCTCCCCTTCTCTTGCGCTTTATTAGTAAATCTTTATTTATAACAAGCAATGTTTCCCCTGGAGACTTCCAGCGGATGATACAGTAAACAAAAGATATTAAGGGCGTTTTCGCCTGTTTAATAAATATTATAAATAGCGAGAACGTTTCGCGCATTTCATCCATGCAACTAATACAATTAATCAAATTATTTTTATATTATTGCAACATTAATTAATTTAAATTAAACGGCTTGTTTTTACATCACTCGCCTGAATTGCCAACGCTTTCAAAGTATCCTAATACACAGAATGTACAGAAAAAAATAAAAAATTTAGCAAAAGAGAATACTTGGTAGGCTGTGGTACTAAATAAACTCAGGTAATTGTGCATTGGTTTATTGTGATTTGAGATGTTGATTACATCTTAGTTGGCTGCTGAAATGAAACTGTCGCATTTTTTGCATAATCAGGGATATGTAGCGGATATTACGAAGTAAAGGGCATTCGTTTTATAAACTTTTATTTTATAATTGCAAGATATACTTGGCTCTAGTTAGAATGAAGATCAAAGTGTTCACCTGCTAAATTCATACTTGATACTTTCTGACGGTGTTAGGTTATCTGTCTTGTGTATCCCGATTGTTTTCTAAAAGTGGTAGAGAACCTGGGAAATAAGAAGGCAACGTAAAGTAATGAACCATAGCACGCCGATTGCTATTATTTCACAACTTTCCTTACTTAAAATTAAAAGGATCGAGAATGATTCTAAGAATTTTAAAAGAGAATAATCATCTCTTCCTTGTCCTGCAAGAGCAGAAAAATGATGATAAAATTAAGTTTAATTTCAGTTGAAATATAATCGCACCTTGCACCTTATAAACTTGTGTAGTAAGTTGCACCTTGATATGTTGTTCATTAAAAAATTATCAACAGAAAATAATATTAACAAAAATCAAGATTTGTAAACTATAACCCGTAACTATAATGTAAACTGAATATCTTGCATACTAGAGATAATTCTATCTTGTATTAGACACTTATGTCATAGAATGTATATAATACGATATATATTCTATTATACTTTGCAAGGTTGAAAAGCAAGGGGGATAAAAGGTTCCCTTATTTGACACTACGAAGCAGATCCGGTATCAAATTTCATTGCCTTTTTATTTAAAATTATTATTATTCTAGTAACCATCTACTTTACTGAAACCTTTCTATCTTTATATTACGTTATCTGGTTTCTGATCTCTTTTCTATCGACTGAGAATAACCTATCCAACAGAGACCCGTTGATGATAGGACTTAAATTTGATGCTCCTTCGGCATCTTTGCCCGGTTTGAGTATTAATGTCGTCCTCGTTAGTTTTCCAGGCAGTTGGATAAGCCATATTCATCATGATTAGGTTACAGAATTTTAGGAATGTTAGTAGTGTACCTATTTTCTGAAGATGACCCTTTTTAACTTTATTTGGTCCGGTGGCCGTTTCGGATTTTATTCTATAATTTGGCGACTAGATTCCCCATGGTAATTGGCGATCATACTAAGTCAAGCTGGATTTGTTCGGCTGCGGCAGTGTTTCCAATTTTTGTGTTGGGGGCAACTACTCTCCATAACTTCTTGTATAGTGGACCCACTTCGTACAAGGCAGTTCTATTTTTCTGATTTCATCTCTGTTCAAGTCGCTTGAAACAGCCATATCCACAAGCACCATTTGTTGTAAATTTCTAGTTTTTCTCCAGTCTCGGGCGTAGTATCGTCCCATCATGGTTATGTGTGGTAATCGTCCTATTCGATTTATTCTTTTTATTTGTTTGATTCGTCCTTTTGGGATCTGCTTGCCCCATTATCAACTGTTCCATAAACAGATCCAGGATTACATCTAATTCGTCCATCGGAGTCCTTCTCAGATGCTCCAATTATTTTGGTCTCTACCTGTTTGAAGTCGTTGTCGTCTTCTACGAATAAAGACTGGATTGCTGTTTGGAAAGCCGATTTATACTCTAAGTTGGTCTGGTCTTTGTTTCTACTTCTTCCGTGGCTGATTCATATTCACTTTCACTCGATTCTTCTTCAATCGACTCACGGCCCTCTCTTTGGACAAACAGGAGTGTCTTTTCATCTCCAATTCATTTGCAGGTTTTACTGGATAGGAATTCATGAATCGCAAGATTTTTTATGAGTTCTGTCTCTTTCTTAGACCATGCCGACCTTGATCTCCTGCTCCGAGTAGTACCAAATTTGCATGCCTTTTAAGTTTGTGTGCCGACAGACCTCTTTTCGTTAAGTACGTCTTATCGCAAAGGGTCTTGGCATTTTATCTGTTCACTCATTGGAAGGTCCACACAGTATGAAATTCGTTCCGTCTCTGCTGCTAGTGGTCCTCCGATCCATATCGGACAAGTCTGCCACAGATGCCTCAGGGCTTTATCTTCTGTACATGTCATGAGCTTTGTTTTCAGACTGTGAGGTACTGATCTTCGCACCTATCGTTCCTTTTCGTGGTCCTTGTCAGTCGTAAAGCAGAGTCCCCACGAGCCATGAACCGATTACTATTTCGGTTTCCTTCACTCAGGAGGAGGCCACGCGGTACTCAGTACTAGGTTTCGAACTATGCTGCCACTATCTTTTTTCCTTGGACTCATTTAGGTAATTCGTACCGGCAAGCCGTAGATCCCGTCTAGCTCGGGAATTCGCTAGTTCCCTTGCGACGTGCGCATCGTCTCATCTGCCTTCACCATTGCACAGATTAGGTATATGAATAAACTTTGCACCTTACGGAGTTTCATGGCCGGGGATCTGAAATACCGACATAATAAAAAATCACTGGTTTTTAGCGCACTCTTTAAACAATGGTGATTTGGGGAATTACATTAAGTAAAACGATCAGGGTCAAATAGCGAATACGCCAGGAATATGATTTTTAAAACCCATTACAGTGTTGTCAAACTTTCGATACCGAAATGTAAAGCTAGTAACTGATCGAACTTCCGGGCGGGGCGCTCTACTCTCGAAGCGATACAGCGGGTTACAATGTTCGCGGGTCACAACGATAGTACTGACGGTGTCGATCGACATCGTCAATGCTTTCAACTCCCTACCATAGAAAAATATAAGAACAGCACTCGCGAGACACAGAGAGTCGCTCTACCTGAGGAGACTAGACTTTTCTCCAGAAGATCAATAAGTTACAGCGAAGAAGGAGGGAATCAAGTAAACAAGGCAGTTACACGAGGGGTTCCGCAAGGATTAGTGTTTGGCTCCCTGCTATAGAACATCGGATACAACGCGGTCCTGAGTGCAGCCGTCCTCAACGGCGTGCACATCGTCTGCTACGCAGATGACACGCTGATCATAGAGGGGGAAAGGATTGGACCCGAACTTTAAGACAAATGGAGGTAGCGGTTGCAACGGTCATCGTCGAGGTGAGACTAGCCTGTGCCTAGAAATCGCGGCACACAAAACTGAAGCCGTTTGGTTGCACGACCTCCCGCGCTCCCGACGCTCCCCACAAACGTGGCTATGCGTCAAAGAGGAGTGCGTGAGAATCAAGGACACGCTAAAATACCTGGGAATCACGCTAGATAGTCGCCTGAATTTCGGGGCATACTTCAAACAGCTGATTCCCAGAGTAGAGGGTATAACGATGCACCTTGGAAGGCTTCTCCCAAACGTCAGCGGCCCGGGGGTAAAGACAAGAATGCTGAAGTGACGAAATCAATGATCCTGTACGGCGCGCTCATCTGGGCAAACTACATCACCAGTCACAAAGCCCTGCGCAGGATCCAAAGAAGAATGGCTACCCGCATCATCAGGGCGTACCGCACTGTATCTCACGACGTCGCACTGTATCTCACGACGTCGCTGTCACCCTCGCAGGAATGATCCCGTTCAGCATACAGGCGAAAATCGAAGCAGACATCTTCGAGCAAGTTCGCGCTGCAAAAGCGAACGGGGAGACAATTACAAAGGCGGACAAGATGCGGATGCGTAGAAACGCCCTGCAACCTGCACGAAGGGTGTGGATACGAGGATTGGAAAATGGTGGCACGGCGAGACCGGCCATTGGAGCAATCGCTCCACACTGGGAGCAATTGGCGGCTCAAGGGACGAGTAAACTGACATATAGAACAACGCAGGTAATCACCGGACACGGATGCTTTGGAAGCTGATTGTACGCCTAAAAATAATGAAAAAAAGTTATATAAATATATGTCGTATCTGTCTTCGTTTATGAGATATAATGAATTTTCTGTTTTAATTATTTTTACAAAAGATGCTCGAAATGACCACTTTGCATTTGAAGACAAGCCTGTACGCCTCTTACCATTGATTTGGTTACTCTCTCTATCATTCCTGGTGTTTCTCGAATTTCTCGAAATGCCTTGCTCTATTCTATTTCGTAGTATTTCAGCATTTTCAACCGATGTTGCGTATACAATAGATTTTAAATGTCCTCACAAATGAAAATGTAATGGATTCAAATCCGGAAAACGAACAGGCCATGCAATAGGACCTCCATGACCAATCCATTTATTTGCAAAGTGTTGATTTAAAATGCGGTATGCGGTTTATGCATGATGGAGCTCCGACGCATTTTATTCGAGTGGTAAGGCAATTTTTAAATCAACATTCATATATATATATTATTTCCCAAGTATCGTTTACAGTACCGTTTAGTTTAAATTTATGAAAAATAACAGCTTCATCACTTTATCAAGATACATTACTGCAACTTTGCGATTAAAATGTATGGACTAATTCAAAGTAATGGATTATTGATAATCATAAATAATAATGTAGTAGATGTATTACAATATATTACTATATTACTATATTTACAATGCTCTCATATACTCATATATGTACAATATAAAAAATGCAATAAATTTATTTACTTTTTTAAATATGACCGTTTGTATATAACAATGTTCATCATTCAATTAGGCTCCTTCATAGGTAGAGAATCAATCTATCGAACTAAAAGACCTTTACAATAATTCTGTATTTGTATTTCGCGATACATCGAATTCGAAAATTATTGTCACTTAAATATTACAACGATTCTAATCCAATATTACTCATTGTTAGCAATATCATTACTATGTCTTTTTGTGAATGAAAAGTAATCACCTGCTTCTATTATCTTCTACTCCACTTTACGAAAATAAAGAGGATTGTGTTCATACAAATGGAGTTATTTTCTTTTACAAAATTCTTAATATTATTTGTTTAATATTATATCTATCTTCCACTGAATTGTGTATAAAGTTATGTACAAGTACCAACGGATTTATACTATTAGAAGACTCTTCTTGATCATTCATTTCATTTTATTTCATTTACATTTGTATTTCAAATTTAATATTAAAGATTGCGAAAATAGACGACTCGCAAAGAAAACGTAGAACTTAATCATTAGGAATACCAGTTTTATTACTTCGAACATTAATTTCATCAAGTTACAATACTGTTATATAACGATACAATACTATAATTATAATGATTGTAAAAAATGAAGTTATTCTAGGTTAATTAATCTTATTTCATCAAATAAATTTTTATTTGAAAATCAAATGAATGAAAATAACATTAAACAATATTATTGAACTATTTTCCATATCTGTTCAGGTACATGTTTACTAATAGGAGTAAGTATAACAGGTATAGATAAATATTCATATGCAAAAGTCGAAAGTAATGGAAACAATTGGCAACCTTTTCCATCCCACCATGAAATAGGATCAAAGTCCATTCCAATCGGTTCATCTTTTATGTATCTAGAAAAAAAAAGGAAATATAACAGTAAATACGGATAAAACTATAATAGGATATGAACGACAGTAATTAGTTGAAGTACGTACTTTTGAAACTCGTCTCTCAGTGTAATTTCCTCCTTAGTTTTGTCTAACCCTAAAGACGAAAGTAATGGAAACAATTGGTAATCTTCTGCATCCCTCCATGAAATAGGATCAACGTCCCTTCCAATCAATTCATCTCTTATGTATCTAGAAAAAAAAAAAAAAGAAAAAAAACAGTAAATACGGATAAAACTGTCATGAGATATAATCGACAGTAATTAGTTGAAGTATGTACCTTTGAAACTCGTCTCTCAGTGTAGTTTCCTTAGTGTTGTCTAACATATTTGCATTAAACAAATTTATTTTCAAGTTTTTTATTAGTTGGCATAATATCTTTTTAGTCCACTCATCGGGATTTTTAACAAATTTAATGGTTCTGAAACGAGGATCCAGTAACGTAGCAGTTGCATAAATAGTAATATCTTCCCAATTGTTTAAAAAGTCATCGAGTTTAGTTTGCAAATTAATACATAGCAGCTGCGTTGCATCTTGCAATGAATCTTTTCGCTTTTTTACATCAACATTAATTCGCTTTTTTAGACCATTTCAAATAACTTCGGCAACACTTCGGAAATCATGTGTATTTCACCTTGAGCTTTCTGCATATCCTTTAAAACGTCAATTACTTCAACAATAAGATCGATTTTCCGACTTGGCTCCAAAGTCGTCAGAAAATTTGACACTTTGCACAAGTAGAAATTCAACGTGTCTAAATCTTTGTTCATGCGTTCGTCGATAGGTGTAGTCGTCGAATTCTCTTGATCCACTATGTCATGCAGTAACTTTTTCGTTGTTACGATATTCAAAGAAATCGTACCGGAATTATGTATGGCTGAATTTACTATATCCATTAGTGTATGTTTAAAGTAAAACAGTATTTTCCAATTATTGATATTGACTTCTTTCACTTTCGTAAAGTAGGACAGAAATTCTTCGTCGTCGGAAATAACAGTTTTTATTTTGTGAATAATGTTATAGGCATTTGCTACGTCTAATACACGGCTGCACACATGTTCGAGAGCATTTTCCAACTGGCAAGGTGCGACGAACAGTACATCGTGCCATACTTTGTTGTTAACACGCGAATACGCATTAACAATGAACCAAAGTAACTGTTGATCATAGTCTCTCTTTACATCTATTGCCAAATGAATAAACCGTGCGGAGGCAAGTGTTTTTCCCAGGAAACAGTTGCGTCGTAAATCATCTATGTCCAACGATGTATAGTCTTCGTTAAATAGTTTCATAAATTGCAAAAACTTCTGGTTGTTTTGCATTGAAAATATGTAAGCATTTTTGGATATTATTTGTGACAGGGAACTTGCTATCTGTTTACTGTCTTCTACCACAATTCTCTGCGTGCGGTTATGATTCGATGTGCTGGAATTTGGTTTCTTAGTATCCGGTGTAGTCATGTTATTTACTTAATTTATTGTCTTTCTTCAGAATATTAGTAAAATGTCAATTGAGCTTGAACTCTGGTGTAGAGTGCAATCGTTGTGCAATCTGTAAAAACAGTTTTATTTTAATATATAGATATGAATGTTCTGAGACAGCAATAAATTAAATACATCGTATTCTACTGAATAATCAATTAAATAAATACTACTTACAATTAGTTGAGCCACTATTTACCGCTTAATGTAACTTTCAGAAGATAATGTAATACAGCTTAAAATATGGTAAGCAAAGAAGATTATCTGAAAAGGTTTTATAGAATGTTGTAAAAAAGTCAACGTTATAAATACTAATAGTATTGTACTATAATTGACTACAAATAAATATGCGGATCGCTGTGCAATTTCTTGCTACTATAAACACAAATTAAAAAACGGATTCTAAACGGAATTTATTTCAACTGTTGAACATTATAACAAATCCTACTTGCGATATTTTATATATTTTTGCATATTACTTGCATTCTCTGAATTTTTGCATCGTCAAATTTTCCACAAATGCACAAAGATCTATAGTCTAATTAATAGACAACAACAATCCAGCATTATTTTGAATTAGTCCGTGCAATTTAATCACAAAATTGTTTTTGTAATGTAGTTTGTAATGTCAAAATAATTAAGCTGATATTATAGTGTAAATCGTGATCATACGCTATACAGAATGAAAAAAAACATATTTGTGATATGTCTAATAAAACATATCTATTATATATATAATAAAACATAGCTATAATGTATATAATACAAATAATATGTCTATAATTTTATATATAGGTTATTCCAAATATAAAACTATATATATAAGTTATTCCGAATGAAGAACATCATGTGACTTTTGATTCATTTCTTTTTTATTTATTCAAAAAAACAAATTTTACGTTCATATAATTGGAATAAAAGAATAATTCTTTATTTTTCATACATTTTATATCATTTTATTTGTTCAAAACGATGTAGGGCAGTATATAACAACAGTAAGTTAGAAATACGTGAAGAACTAAAATATGCAATATGCAATGTTATTAGTGGCATTAAAAATGAAATTAATAGAACGGACTAGCAACGATCGTTAAAACTTCGAATAGATCTATGTTTACAGGAGGAAGATTGTCATTTTGAACATCCGCTTAAACCTACACGTGCAAAGAAAGCCGTAAAATATATGAAAAATAAAAAAATTATTTTTTAATTCCAATTACACAAATGTGAAATCTATTTTTTGAAGTGAATAAAAAACAATTGTGTACGAATGATATTTTTATTCAGAATGATCTATTAAACACACTGATAAAAGTAGTCGGTTTTCTTTCTGGGATACCTTGTATAGTATATGTAATGTAGATAATATATCTATAATATTATATATCTAATGTGTGATTTCCTTCCTTACGTGATTAGAAATACATGAAAATGCTGAACGTCAACATTCTTATTTTTAGGGATGTGTAATTAATGCTTGATACGTCGAAACTTCGAAACTTCTCGAAACACAAAAAAGATTTTGTATTTTGTATTTCAAAAAGTCGAAACTTTGTATTTTTTTCGTGATTCGAAATTCACGGAACTCAGATAAGAAGAAGTATAAAACAACGAATAAAAAATCATTTGTATGAAAAAAAAGAATGTTCATGTGTATCTTGAATGTTCAGTACCAGATGCTTCGCGAACGGTTGCTAATTCGTTTCTGTTTTTAAGGATATAAGCACATATGTGATTGATTGCAATTTTGAAATGTAAAGTGTGAAATATCCAAATCGAGAAAAAGAAATCTTATTATATCACTATTAACAGTATATTTTGGAAAACTTTTCAATATATCCAGTATTGTAGTGAACAGAAATAGATCTAGAAAGAATGTCGATTACATATGTTTGCACATTGTTACGTTTTTGTTCACTTCATGTATTTCGTCTAATAGTACTTAATATAAATTTATATAAAAATATTAACTTTAGTTCGTAAAGCAAGAATTTCTTCTTGAAAAATAAAATCAGCATTTCAATTTTACTATCCCGACGTATGTAAAACTCGTGTCACACATGATTGGAATATGAACTTCGTAATACATGAATATGTAGATTACATATATAAGTATACATTAACCTACTTATAGTCGAGTTCCGATCAAAATTAGTTAAAATTAAATAAGATTCTTCAAGACCAAATTACTCGTTCAACTTATGCTAATAATAACAATTTAACAAATTTCGACGACGTTTGATAAAAGGCATACGCGATCTAGATACGTCGATTAATCGCGAAAAAGGAAGTAAAAACAATAACGTGTAATTTTATATTCACTTACACCTTCACAGCGTCCCGAAATGCAGTTCCCTGCAGCTTTTGAAATGCAAATGTAGCTTGGCAAAGCAGCAAGATTAAATCTTTGATTAATGACCTCAGCTATTGCGGAAGGGGCGGTAAAGGAAGTTATCCCCTCTCTTACTCATCTAAACGAGGAAACTAAACGAATTTTTTTACATATTTTCAGCCAGTTAGTGTTCTTGTATTTAAACCTGTATCGAATTTATCCTAAATACTCAATCAGAATCGCATGTTCTCAGATATCTTATCTTTCGATAACGTGTGACATGACCAATTCATTGGAATGAAATGAAATTTTGAAGAGGAAAGTAGCGGGGCAAAAAGGATCTCATAAAATTTTAGAAACGGATCTTTATTAGATTCTGAGATATTAATAAAACACTTTGGATGCAATACATTGAATCTTGCCTATACAGACGTTATCATTGCAAACCATATTCGCTGTATTAACCTCATGCGCTGGATTGACGTGTCATGCACGTCGAGAATTTTTTGGTTGAAATTGTAATACTTTCTGAATTTTAAGTATTTTCAAGTAAAACAAAAAGGCAAACCAAATAATATATTTATTACTTCTCAATAATTTCTACCCAGTGATATAATACCGACGAGTTCAAAAAGGAAAGCGACGAATATATTGTATACGGTTTGGTCACTTGTTATAGTCCTCAATCAGTTGCCAACACAAGTGGTTAAACGCGATGATGTTTCTACTGATACTGAAATGCGGAAATAATTTTTCCGCATATCGATTAGTTTCTTTAACTATAATTTTCATTAACTTATAATATAGCTACTAACTAACTAACTAACTAATAACTTTAATATAACTTTCATTAATTAAAATTTCATCAACATTTAGTAGCGATGAATAAATGTCTTCTATTTTCTCAAAATTTTAATTTAATAATTTGAAACCAGATGTACCAACGAAAAATGCGAGCCTTGACTGGTTTTCAATTGATTCAGACCAATCTGCGTGAGAAGTAGTTATATTATTATCAATATTTAATTTCTCATCTTCGTTTTTGCTAATTGATAAAATCATATTGCGTGTAGCACTATGAAAAGATATTATTTGGTTCGATGTGTCTGTTGAAAAATTTTAAAAAGAACATATTCGTGCAATTCTATGGCCGGTGTCACAGTTTTAACCTATTCTGGGGCTTTTTTCCGTTGTTTCTATTTGTTAACGCAATGTCTTCATTGCCAACGAGCAATCTTTCTTTGTCTTCTTTCGCTCAATTTGCACAAGACGTTCTTGACAGTGAATGACATAAATGTATAGTAAATATATATATATATATATATATATATATAACTTTATTATTTATGTGATTATTATTTGTTCCTTATACTCCTTCTGTTCCTATATGAGTCGTGTGTATGTCACTGTGTTGGTGAGGACCTCGGTCTCGAGCGGCCGTCACATTCTGTACAGTACCGGTGAGCTGGACGGCCCCAAATATGGATTAGTAGGATATCCGTGTGAGTCAAGACTGACTCAGCTACAGGAGCCTGAGCTTTAGTAATCGGAGGATTAATTAGCCTTCTTGTTAGCATATGTCGCTATTTCAGCGAAACGAATTTTCTCATCCTCAGTTGCACTTTTTCCAGACAGATAATTTTTATAAAATAATTTAACAAAAATGACCAAATAGCTAAAATACACGAAGAAACAGACAATGAAATTTTCCTGTGACATATAACATTCAAAATGACCACTTTTTCGATAATAATAAGCCGCAGTAGTTACAGTGCCACCCATTATCATTTGCACTATCTGTAACATGGTGATCATCACGGCCACACTTTTTGGTAATTTGTATTGCATTGCCTTCAGAGAGTAATAAGAATACATCACAGAATGAACAAAGTAGTTCATTGTGAAATACCATCTTGTAGTTGCTACAGTTTCTGCATATATGTACCATACAAAAAGAAAGGCAGATAAATGGTGATACCAATGAAGAAATATCAATGGCTGTTTTCGTAACACAATGAAGAATGTATCAATTAATTCTGGAATCTTTGATAAGATAAACATCCATGACCAAAAACCAGAAACACAATCTTCAAGCAGGTTGCTGGAAAGAAAATAATGCTCGTGTTATTATTGTTATTGCAAATTAATATACTATTCGTAATGATGTTTTACAGTTTTTTTTATAATGAAAATGATGATGGACACTAATTTTTTATATCTGTATTTTCAAGAAACGAAGATGACCTTCAGCTACAATTTTGTATCATTCAAAAGTATGCATCTACTATAGTCCTCACGGTCTCCCTGAAGGAGATCAAAAATGAACGAAATAAATTGAATGTTTCCTGATATTACATTTATTAATACATTATATTTATAAAGCCGATAAGAAATTTTTGGTATGAAATGTTTAACAATGAATGGTCACCATGACCTATCCCCGACATAATCCTATTTGTAATATTTATCTAATTGTTATTTCGGTCTAATTTTAGAATTTTCTATTAACTTGTTTAGAATTACTTGAGAATCTTCTGATATCGGTAGCTTTTACTTCTATACATTTGAAATGAAAGACACATTTTAAGAATGAATTACCTCATCAGAGAACAAACAATGAAATTCAAAGGTTTAATAATTAAACTTTTTATAATGAAGGTTAATAATTAAACTTTGTTCATAATGAAATATGTTTGATATTTACATTTTCTTAAATTTTAGATGCATTTAATATTAATTATATTTGACATTTCAAAATTGAATTATTTATTTCGGTGTTTATTCTCCAAATTTTTAAATCATAAATACAAATAGAACATCAATTATTGAAACTTCAATATTTCTTTAAAATATTATTAATATTTTTGGTAATATGCTTCGTACTTCAAATTATATACCAAGAACTAAGGCTTCATTCCTACAGTTATAACTTGAATAAGATGATGCACATTTAATTATCCAAACTACTGAAATCTTCAAATCACTTTGGTCCCAATCAGTTCGGACAATTGATGTTCTACTTAAATTTTGAACATTTAAAACTATCGAAAAATATGAAAATAGATTTACCTTGGTGTACAAACACTATGGTAAAATCCATGGTGTTGCAATACATGGAACAATTCCGGTGCTGTCCTACTAAATCCAATAATGGAGAACGTTGCGAGCAATCCGCTCCATAATGCAAGTGGACCTCTCAGATTGAATTTTGGTCTACTTGACATGTAATATTTTCCGCCAAAAATTAGAATCAAGTAAATGCCACAACAATAGAAACAGTAGGAAAAATTATTCGTGATCCACGCTTGATTATCTGGATAAAAGTATGTTTTCTCGATGTTGAAGACGTGTGAGTAATTAGGTACAGTTATCTGGATATCATGGACTTTGTTCATAATGAAATATGTTTTTTATATCTTCTGATCCCAAGGAAATCCAGTTTCTCTTTGCTCACGTTGTCGATCGGCTGAAGCAAGAGAAAACAACTGATGTCATTTTATTAAAAAAAATTAGAAGGAAAGAGATATTTAAAAAAATACCGTATTAAGTTGGTACTTTTCGAAAGAAATTGCAAGCAATACTTTCGGATGAATTCGTAGACGATAATATGAGTATATATGGGGAAAGTCGA